TAGGTGATATGATTATTATGTATGCATGAATACATGAATATAGTTATATGTGATTTCATGTGCAATAGGCATATGTAATAATATTATGATAAGATATAAGATATGTGACAAGATATGTGTAATACATGAAAAAATGATATAAGTTGTGTAATAAACCATATGAACTGATATAAATAAATAGGTGATGAAATCAAAAAGTGAGATAAAATAAGTAGTATTTATTTATAAGGTAAAATGCACATAAGATGACATGTCTATGTTTTAATGTAATAAAGTGAAATAAGTCCAAGGAGGTTAGGAACTCAATGAGACATTATCTATATGATCTAGGTAAAGATAAGAGAACAAAATATAAACTATGTAATATATGGGAAATATATGTGAACTAGATAAGACATACATGTGATATAAACACATGAGAAGTGTTATGAGCTATGTGACACATGAATATGAGATCATATGAAAAGTGATATGAACTATGTGAATGTGCTTATATGATATGTGAACATGTGATATGAGACTCTATGAGAGTATTACATGATATGTGATATTAATGTGTGTATGTGAATGACATAAGTGACAATACCCATGTTATATGTTATGAGAGCTAGGGTACAGTTGGCATGCCAAGAGTCGAGGGTTCTACGTGGTCCTTCGTGACATAGTGGTCCTTCGGGACATATGTGATATGTGTTATATGTGGTCCTTCGGGACAAATTCTACGCGTCCCTAGTGGGAATTATACGAGTTGTAGTGACAGCATAGTGCACAACCTCTATGTACTCACATACCTTAAGTTATCAGTAATGTACACGGGTAACCAAAAGATAATATAAATAAACTTGATATGATAATGCGATGTGATTTGTGTGAAGTGGTATATGTGATATATGATGTGCATAAATACAATTGTCATATGAATGGTTATATGATATTTGTATTAAGTTAATATATGAAATATGTTACAGAAACATATATGATGATATACATATGCATGTGTGTATTTGTTATATGAAAAATTATATGTTTGTTCATGATATAAGTGTATTAAGTGTTCATACATTGTTATGAGTTAGAGTTTTCATTATATGTTTATATGCCTCACTAAGTGATCGACTTAGCGTGTGAATGTTTCACACGTAGGTTTGGAAAGCGAGAAGAGAAGTAAAGAGGAGCAAGACAGGTTAGCATCTCCCTTACGAAGATCAGATCAGAAATATATTGAATATGTGTATTTTGTTATATAGAATTTAGTTGGCATGTAGTTACAAGATTTGAATTGAATATGCTTTGATCGGTTTTCAAAAACAATTTGATTGTAATTATTAATGTAAAGTACCCATTTTCTTAAATGATGAATTTAAGATTTTGCGGATTTGTAAAGAACAGAGCTTTGAAAAGTCAATGTGACATCTCGGACTCGGATCCGGGTCGGATACGGGTTGGGGGTGTTACATTGAGTGCAAAATTTGAGCCTAAGTAAGGTCATTTCGAGCAGAGGGTATCAATACTGTAAGAACAATACCGATATTGTTCTTCCATCAATGCAAAATTTATTAAGTTATAAAAGGAGTATCGATAATCAGAGGGTAAGTATTGGTACTGTACATTTTTTTAAAACATCGAATCCAAATTTGGTATCGATACTCCCATGGGTATTGGTATCGATACTCATGGGAGTATCGATACCCAGGGTAGAGTATCGATACTCCCCATAAGAGTATCGATACCAAGGAAATTTTTATAACATCGAATCAGAATTTGGTATAGATACCCTGGTTAGTATCGATACCAAGGAAATTTTTATAACATCGAATCAGAATTTGGTATAGATACCCTGGTTAGTATCGATACCCTAACTCAGAAGTATTAATACTAGTCGAGAGGGTATCAATATTATCCTTTCTATATCAGTTGAAAATAGAGTAGAGTAACGATGCCTAAGGAAATGTATAGATACTAAAGGATCATTACCGATACTGAAGGGCCAATACTGGTACCATCGTACATTTTGGAGCATAATTTTTAGAGGATTGTAAGGGGAAATGAGGTTCCCAAGAACTCTATGATTACTCTCAAATAAGACTACGTGTGAGAACAATAATAATGCTAAATTACACTTAGAAACGAGATCAATTAGGGTAACATAAAACTAGCCTTGATTGATGCTCGAGAAACGATCAGGACACCCGATTTCCTTTAGTAAAGATAGCGGTGTTGATGTATGAATGAGTCTAGATATCCATAGGTAGTGCGCGAGGCACTTTAAATTGACTAACTAGGGCACGAGACCCGACACATGTGAGGGATGGGTTAGTCGAGGGAGTTGTGTCCGATGTAGAGATTCTGGGCCACATCCTTGGTAGACTAGAGGAGTGTGTGAGCTCCGAGATGTAGAACCCTCAACCGCACCATGATGTCTACCCTAGAGTAAATAGTAAGTATACAAGTAACTCACTGATGCATGAAATCTGATAGCTTGAGCATTTTTTTGATGCACTTTTAGTATGATATAGTTGTTAGTGTGGCACTGGGCTAGTTAGATCAACATTTGGAATTTGCTTTCTTATGCAGATTAGTAGAGGAGCAGTTGAGGAGCCTTTTGTTCAGCCTTGATCCATACCAAGTTTCAGAGCAGAGTATTTCTCGAATTCTTCTTTAGAGGGCATGTATGTAAATCCTATTTTAAATATTCAAATCGTAACTTATTTTAAATGATAGTATGTATATTGAGATTTATTTATTTTTGGGAGCTCTTAATATAAACCATTTTATTTAAATTGTGATTGACTTATTATATCAGGAGTATTACAAATGATTTTTTAAATTAAGCAAAGAAAATTTTGGATAGCCACATTCGGTGGTTCCTTGTGATATTCTAATCGGTCGACTGTGTGTCGTACTGGTTTAGAGTGTTACAGTTAATCAGTGCTCGTCTAGCGTTGTTGAATCATCTTATTATAATTATATAGAAATATATAGAAATAGTTACATCATCATTTAGATAAGATTGAGTCATATATCTTTCATCTTAAATTCGAATCTGGCATTCGAATCTGACACGACTTTAAATTTTCAACAACAACAAAAATTCAATCTTACAAGATTGAATCTAAAAGGGGCTCGAGTCATGCTCATCTTTGAGATAGACGCAAAATGGGTGCGACGATATTTTAACCGAGTGAAAATTCATCTTTGACTCAATTTTACTTGAATATTTTTTATGTGTTACTTCACTATAGAAATGAGATATTATAATAATTATTTAAAATATGTATAGATGAATATTGTAATAATTTTTCCAGGTTCAATAAGAAATTTTTAGATCTTATGGGGTAAAGTTTTTAGCCCATTAAACAAAGTAAAATTGGCCCAATAAACCATTTGAGTAAAAATATTAGTTCATTAGGTTACCTGCAAAATTAATTTAAGATCTACGGCAATATTACAGTGCATGGCAAAGTCGTCACGTTCATATGAAAAATTTGTTCAAATAATATTTTTTATTCAAACTCGTTATGTCAAAGTGACAGTTCTAATAAAATATTATTTTTATTAGATTTTGTCTCATCGGAATAACAAGTTCAATAAAAAATATATTTTATTAGAACTTATAATGCTCACGTGACGAGTATCAAGTGACGGTAGCAAATGTTGTAGTTCTCAAAATAAAAAATATGATGTCGTATTGAGCTAAATAATTAACCCGCTTAATGTATGGGGCAATATTGCCCATTAAACAAGCCATATCAAAACTTTATAAATTGGATCATAACATAATTTGGGTCACAAATATGTGAGAAGAAACCTGGATTCATCAAAAGCTACCAAAGTTGACAATCATCCTTTGCTTTTCCTGGAAGATTAGAGAATCTGGGAAAATTACCAACACAAATCCACGAAAACGTTCCCTTTCAAAGAGATAAAGGAATCCCTTGCTGTATATCTAGAAGGTATCCTTCTCTCACATTTTCTTCACACAACTTCCCATATAAGGGAGCTTTGGATTCTTCTTCCTCAAACCTCGATTGTAGTTTAACCAAAAAAATATGTCTCTAAGCCCCCGTCGACTCGATGCTGATTTCGACCGACGAATTAGCTGGGAATCAGGCCCTGAAAATGGACCTTGGATCACTCTCAGTTTCATTGAACCACCAGACCAGCAGACAACTAATGCAGGCACTGAAGAACTGCCGAACAGGCTGATTCAGCCATCAGAGCATTGCCGACCGTGAACATCACTGAGAACCGTGTAGCCAACACCATGCATTGTGCTGTTTGCAGAGATGAGTTCGAGGTCGGTGGAGAAGCAATAAAGCTACCATGCAAGCATTTGTACCACCAGGATTGCATTGTGTCGTGGATGAACATTAAAACCACATGTCCCATTTGTCGTTTCAAGATCGACGGGGATTCTAATAACACTGCCAGTGATGAAACCTATGAAACTAGTGAGATGAATCATCGGGACATTGGTGTTGAAGATCTGGCATATGGCTTAACTTGCTTGCTCTCTTCAAGGCCTCTTCGCGTATTCTCTCATTGGACACGCAGATATCTTGATCCTTTCGATAGCGTGATCAGTCACCATAATTTTACTCAAGAGGGTAGGATCTGCTACCAGAGCTTAATCACCTGCATGTTCGCTGTTTACATTACTGTCATTGCTAAGTAATTAATGCATATAGATATACATACGTACATATATATGTATATCTAGAGATTGTGTAACACAGTAGCTATGTTATCTTCCCTGCAGCTAGCTCCTGGTGGCCCTCTTGGCTCATTCTATAGGTTCCTCTATATGTAAGCCGCCTGCATTCGGAACCGGGGTCTGCAAACTTTTCAAACGCAGGTAAGTGTGTTCACACGTGGGCATGTGTATATATGCGTGTGTGTGTGTATATATATTGATGATGATGATGATTTGTAAAATCTATACTGCTTTTATCATTCATTGAGTATTATAAAACAATAGTTCTTTACATTTCCAACATGTCTTCTTTACACTTGAAACAATATATAAGAGAGATGGTTCTTGTTGAAACCTACATGTGGAAGACTACTTCTTTAAGTAGTCAAAACCATCTCTTGGAGTTATTATTCCCATTGGGAAAGAAACAACTAGTGTATTTCGTCACGATCTCGAAGTAAGATGTCTGGCTTGTGAAATTTCTGGCTTTGCCATTTCATTTACATGTACATCGTTCCCCGGAAAACCTTTGGAACTTTTTGCAGGGGCTTCTACCATGATTGCCTTTTCATGTTTTGGAACATAGGAGGGTATAACACAAAATGAATCGATCTTGATCATAAACGGAGATGGAAGGTCAAGAATCCTAAGAATGCTGATAACCAGAGTTCGTTCGGGAGAACATCTGCTGCTATAGCTGCAAATTCTCACAACAATCACACAAAAAAATCAAAGAAAATTAGCTATAATATAAATAATACAATGAGAATTCAAAGGAATGCATGTACACACTTAGCAGTTAGCATAAGTGGCTTTGTGTTTCACTTAAGCTTATATTCTTACAAGAAGGAGATAGCGCAGGCGGAGACTGAGCAAGTGGTGCAGAAACCGGGCCTTTCGTGCCGTCCATACCATGGCCTGGATGAGAGCCGTAAGACACAGAAGGTAAAGGTGGTAGATCTGGATACAACTTTGATCCGGGACTCATTAGAGGTGGATGGTTAGAAAATTGTCTAGAATGAGATCTCGGAGAAGAGCTTGGCGGAATTGCAGGGTGAGTGTATGGACAGGGGGGTGGAGGGTGTATTGCAGAACTAGAAGGTTCTGGAGAAATCAAAGGCGGAAAAGTATGGTCGGAGCCACTTCTCGGACCTGGTGAATGAATTGGATTATGACTGGAAGGAGCAGCAGATTTGCATTTGGGACAAGGCGGAAGATGATGCTTCTTGGGTGCTGGTGCTGGAGAACTACTTGGTGAAAAAGTAGGATGACGGGACATTGAAGGCCCTGGAGACGAAGCTAGTGGAGGAGTGGGAGGGGTAGGATGAAGCTTACCCTTCAGATAAGATGACAAGCTAATGCTTTTAACTTTACCGAAGACTGAATTATTAAGCCCGAGATTCTTCGCGGGAGAGCCTGTAATGGTTTGAGCCAACTGCCTTAATCTCTGAGGCAAAAGGCTACTGAAACCATCTGACATCACCGAAGCCTGAACTATGATCGGAGAGGACATTGTGGAGCCATTTATGTTTGTTAATTGCACAAACAAATTCTGCAACGAACAAAAAAAATTATAAAGCTGCAATATACCTTAAGGCTACCATAGATCAACCCGAAAACCAACCATTAGTGAAAGTGTGTACGAGTAAACATTGTTTGAAACTGATGCCATACCTCATAAGACCTCAGATGCAATCCATATTTTAGCTGATCCTTTAGCTCAATGAGTTTGTCATCAATTTCGGATATCGAATTATATAGAGTAAAATTGAATAAAATCTGGTTTATTTGTCCGATAGAAGCATATTGTAAAGGGTTTACAGTGATCCCCCCAGGAAACTTTAGAATCTCAAACTCAGATGGATGCCCAAATACGGAGGTCGTCAAAGTCAGATTGGAGTGACGGAGGAACAGCTCGATTAAAGATGATCTCAGCACACTTAGGTATACTGGATTAATCGGTCTATTTACAGGATCGGGAAGAAAACCGAACACCACATAAGTAGAGTTAGATGCACTGGACTTGTGCATGGATAGGATAACCACCTGTTGAAAATGATTAGCTTTTATATCAACTTTTAACACATATAATGGCAGAAGCTGGGCGTTTTACCTTGGTATACGGAACACCTATTTCTTCATAGATATCATACTCTAACTTTCTGATATGCCGAACGAGCTCCGACACCGGTTTCTCAAGTGTAAAGTATGCATGAACCGGTGCTGCAAAGAATAAATAATAATAACACAAGCAACAAACAAGGAAACTTACTAATGGAACTACATCAATGATCTTGAAAGGACATTCATTCCAATGGAAGGTCTTATTTCGATATGCATTTAGACCAAACCGGGAAAGGATCGATTCAAATCAAGCAACTGAATCGATTTAAGTTAGTTTGGCAGCTCATTTCAAGAAAGAAGTAAACATGTCAAGGAAGAGTATCGAGTTTGATATAGAATCGAATACTTACAAATCGACACATGATCTTGCGAAATATCAACATTTTCTTTGTGATCAAACTGCTTAGCAATTTAAGCTAATACAATAGTAAACAACCACTTCCATTGTTACAATAGGAGCTAGCATAGATTCGTATTGCAACACAGTTACATTGTGAATGAGATATAAATCAGGGAAATACCCATTGACACTCAACACTTGAGGATCCAAACGAAACAACAAAAATGCAGTGAGAATCAAAATACCCAATTTCTGGAAACCGTAATCAAGCAAACAAACTGTTCCAAAATTACAAAAATGGAACTCCAATGACATGAGAAAGAACAACAACAATAAAGAAACCTTACCACTGAGATTAATAGCTTGCTTAGCATCGAGCCCAGATTTCACAGAGCGAGAAGGAAGGATCCAGAAGATCCCAGAGAACAACACCGACAAACTGAGGAGCAAAACAAAAACACATCTGAAACTGAACATGTTTGAAAATCTCGACAAGAATCCAGGATGCCCACGATTGTTCCCTGATTCAACATTCTGCTCTCTTTGCTGCAGATTTTGGTCTTCATTCTTCCCCATTTGAAGAGCATCAGTAACAAAAACAAAACAAACAAAACTTCTCTGTCTCTTTATATCTACCTTGGGTCCTATTTCTATCTCTCACTGTCTAGAAAACCACGGGCACCAAAAACAAGAGCAAAGAAAGAGATGAACAAAAGGGTTGTGAGAAATGGGTGTGGATTGTGACATAAGTGTTAATGGTAGGCGTATGCCTTTCACCGATTTCTCTCTACTGGAATTTGACAGGGTTTCACATTTAAGTCAATTTTAAATTACTTTATAGGCTACCGAACGTTGAGGCGAAGCAAAGGCTAAAGGGACAGGCGAAGTGAGTGAATGAAGCCAGTTTTGGATAATTTAAACTCTATAATATCAAAATCAGCCATTAATGTTGATATATTATTCACTTTCGTCCCTATTTTTAAAAATTATTTTATTATTATATATATATATATAAGTTTGAAAAATTGTGAATATAACAAAAATAATTGTTCATGAAACACTAAAAATAATTTAAAATAATTTTAAATTTTTATAAAATAGTATATGTTCAAAAAAAATTCTTAATCGTTAAAAATATACACTCTCTATACTCAATTGTCCAAATTTAAGACTTTTTAGAGAAAACCCATCAAATTTTACTATTGAGAACGTTCAATGAGTACTCCATTTAATATTAAAGTTAAATTTTAAAATATAAAAGGAGTATATAGTTTGGTAAAGCGTGTTTAATTTTTATTTATTTAGGGTTTTTAATTTGTAATTTGGGTTTCACTCAAAGGGTAGGTGGTGGAGGGAAAAAGATTACCAATATCAATGATGAGTCAAAGATCTCCTTTGTACATCAATTACAATTAACTTTTTATTTATTTATTTATTATTTATTTGAAAAGAGGGCCTCATTATCAATTACAATTAATTATGCCTACATCTTGATGTCTATTTTGATTGGATAACAGTTACCCAACACTTGTGGGATGCAAGCTTATTGGACAATTCATCTCCATTTTAGCTTATTTTGGTTTAACTGCAAACTGGTACCTGTTTTTTAAGTTGGTACTCGATGATGATCAATGGGGATACGAATTAATAATCGGAGACAAAATTAAGATCAAATGTTGGAAGAGATAATAACCCATTAAGTATTTAAATTTAAAAATTGAGAAAGACACATGACTTATTTGATTAATATTTAAACTAATAATGACCTAAAATGCTATTATTCCAAGAAAATTGAGGAACACAATCCCTGCCATCGAACAAATGGCTGTGTCCCTTTAATAATTTAGTAAAGCATGGTAATGTTTACGTGGCAAATTTTAAATGGTTGAAGATTATTTTTTTAACAAAAATCACATTTCAAGCAAACTGTGAAAATTGTATCGATTATATCGTTTAATTTTTTTATTATATAATTAGTTTAACATGAACAAACAAGGAATTTATATAAGAGATTAGCTCAATGGATTAAATGGGATTGAAATTTCAGAGAACAATTTGGTTTGACTTGAATTTTACAAGTTTAATGGTTGGTTTGCTTGATAGACCTATATTTGACCCTTCGGCCTTTGGATACAACTGCTTACCTACTTTAAACCCATCTATATCCGATTTTCGGATTAATTAATTCGAATCAAGTATTACATAAATTTATTAAAGACTATCCTCCTAAACTAATATTTTTCATTCACAATACTATGATTCGAATTTCTGATCTTGAGTTTCAAAAGTAAAACTAGATTGAGCTTGAACTCGCTCGGTTAAATTAAAACGCTAGTCCTATAGCAAGCATAATTGAAGTGTCCGGAAACTAAAGCAATTCTCAGAGGTATTCTAATGTTAATAGTACTCTCTTAAAGTTATCAAAACTTTCCTTGGAGAACATACACGGAAAGAGAAAAACAAGTTTTTGTAATTTTCTCCCCTACCAATCAACGTGTTTAGAATTTCAGATGAGCTTCTTCTTTTGAAAGTATCGCTTCAAGTACCAAATTTGCAGACATGCTGCCGCGATGCAAATACCCAAGGACATAATACTGAACCACGCAACTCTGGCGTTTGTGTTCTCGCTTGTAGTCCTCAATTCCGCTTCTCTGCGGCATACAAAGAGGTTGTTAGCTTACTTTAAAAATAAGCTTAAACTTTGAGCAAGCCCTAAAAGAAAAGATTAACATTTACCTGTCCCTCAGATAGAGTAAGTTCTCGTGAATGGCCTCCACTGCTGCTTCGAGTTTCCTCAGCTCAAGCTCAACACCCTATATGTAAATAAGCACGATGAAACACAAATGAAATACTAGAGGGGAAGTGTATTGAAACATGAATATGATATGATAGAACATTTGATTGCAATTCAAATAAAATACCAAATTCATCTGGTAGTCCAAGTCATTTACTTCTTCAGAAACCAATTTATTAAGTCGTCAAACCAACAAAACTTATCAAATGTATTCCAAGGTCACTCAAAGTGTTCGACTCAGCAATATATAGTTCCGAGCTTTAGACATGGATGTAATCATTCCATCTGCCTAGCTTGACAAACTCTACAAAGCAAAAAGATGAAATAAAAAAATACTAAATTCTTTTTGAGCAAAAGTTGATTGGTATAGCTTGTGGTTTACATAAACCATAAGCTTCACGATAAAAGATCTCTTTTGTGGTCTTCATACCAGCAGAAATAAAAATTCTCAAAAACCATTGCGAACCAACATTTTAGTCAGCACTGGGACTAGGAGAATGGCCCTAAATCCGACATTTCAATACATTTCATACCCATGGTTTCTCTCTAAATCCGAACATTGACTAAACAAGGAAATAAAAAAAATCACCTCAATTTTTTCTTTTCTGGCCACCGACTCCCAGTCTTTAACTGCAATGCCAGTTTTCCAGTCAATGTTGACACTGAGTTCTCCAGATCCTTGGTAATGCCGTCGGACCCGAAACATGCTAGGTTATTGCCAGCCTCCTGAGTTGTGAATGCGAATTGACCATGGGTCACATTCTCTTTGTGATGAAGATTGTTCCCATAAGGGGATGTTACCTATACAATACAAACTGGGAGTTAGAAGTTAGCTGCAAGTAAATTACGCTCAACAAGGTGCCACCATTGGTGTTCAAAGTTTCCATTTCAGAGTTGCAAATTATATTGAAAAGATAGAGGGTAGAGCAACATATTTAGTCTCAGAACTCTGAAACATTTCCCAACATGGTCCCTGAACTTTTTGGTCCGCATAAGTCCTTGAACTTGGATATTTGGTTATTTTGATGTCGCGGCACTCTAAGATTGTGTCATATGACATAGTATTAGAGTGTAACGTCATCTAAAGGACTAAAACGGGAAAACTTACCCAATTCAAGGGATTAACATGGACCAATTTGGGAAAATTTACCTAAGTTTAGGGACTAAATGTTGCTTTATCCCAAAGGTAAATAACAAGCCAGCAGTAATCTAGTACCTGTCTGGAAACATGGTACAGTATCCTACAGAGAAGATCTGGAGATAAAGAAGCAGAGTCTAGAAAATATAGGGATAACTTCAATGTTGATTTCATTACATTTACAATATCATCCCTAGATTTCCATCCTTCCAAAAATCAAATGCTTATTCTACAAATATTAACTTAGAGAGATCAAGTGAACGGTCCCATCTAAATACCATTGGATTCCAATCCAAGAACTCCATGCATTTCTTCCATAATTTGATAATTCTTCAGCCATAGCTAAAATGATCATTTAATTACCCTAAAACAAAATAATTCCTACATCTACATCAAAAACAAGCTATTTCAAGCACAACATTAACAAATCTATTCGATAAAAAGAATTAACAAATCTAACCATTGTATCTTATTTGATTTAAGATTTTCATTACTATTATTCATTCATCAAACTAAAGGAATAAATAAAGCGATTCAAAACTAGTCAAAACCTAACAATCTTGTCCTAACAGATCGAGATTGGGAATTAGGGGCAAAACCGGAAACGAACCTTGACAAAACGGCGGGGACGTGACCGTGATCCTCGGAAACAACGACGTAGTCAGCCAAAACGACGACGTTACTCTGGATTTCCTCGGAGACACACTTGGTGCCGGTCTGAGGAACGTCAACCATATGGCGTCACCTGCCGGAACATTACTCAAAACACACAGCAAAACCACGAGCGCCGCCGACCGGAACATCACCGACCGCCGCACGTCAGCCTTCCCCTGCATCTCTTTGGCGTTTAAGATCTAAGAAATATGGAATTTGACGAAGATTGATTTGGATCTGTGTTCTTACAGCAGAGAAACTAGACGACGAGGCTAGGATTCAGGCTCTTGTCGCTTGATCTATTGTTCTTTAAAGGAGAGCAATAAAGAATAAGCTTTGACTATTATCACATCATTAAATAGCTATGCTCATAGGCCCAGTTCGGTTGGGTTTTTGGGTGGTTCAGTCGAAAACCAGAGTTGGGCCATTGGAAGGCCATTTCCATGACCCCTTTCTTGGGATAATATAACTTTTAGTCCTTAAGTTTGGAAATTCTTTTATTCCTAAATTTTGCTTTGTCCACATTAGTCCTTAACTTGACATTTTTTTATTTTCAACCCTTTAATGATGTATCAGTATGATAGTGTGCCATCTAAAAATACTCAGTATCAAATTGAGACAAATGATTAAGTTTAGATAGATAATGAGTGGTAGGAGACGCTGAGATAAATTCATTAATATCTTGAATGATCATAAAAGATGTAAGAGCATAACAGCTTCAACATTAGTGTCATAAAAATAAAACTTTGAAATTTTATCTTTATGACAGAAATAATTAAATAAAAGAAGATAAAATGAAGTGAAAAGAGTAATCCACATCAGCATAAAATGGTTCCTGTCATCATGTTATTTTTTTATTTAATGTTTAAGTGACAAAAGTAGAAATTATTCAAAATTGTCGTGATCAAAAAAAAACTTTTAAATTTCAGTAATTAAAATAGGAACGAGATCAAAGTTGAGTGATGAAAAGAACGTAGTTTACCCTAAAAATATGATATTATTTTCTTCCCAATTAGACCTAAAGGCTATTGAAAGCAAATGCAGAACCTTTCCTATCTGAAGTTAGATAATTTCATCAAATTCAACCAAATTACTGGTACTGAATTCTCATTCGCTCAATATTCCTAATAATTATAATAGTTCATTCAACAAATTCCCTCTCTAATTTTGCTCTGCGTTCATAATATTTTCCATATTGCTCCAATTTAGGGTTTGGTTCTGATTTGTTATATATATGATTTAGTATTTTTTTTTCAAACTATTGTATGTCAAGTTCGTGTAAATTGAGGTTTCATAAGGTTTTCTGTGTTCTTTAGCAGGTTGGTCTGCTCTAGGGTTTATTCTACCTTTCCTTTTGTTTGTTTAACTATAAAGTCCTGGAAATTTTTGAGAGAATAGGAAAAAAAGGGTTGAAAAAAAATCTTATATATTAAGGAGATACTTTTTCTTTTTCCGATCAGCAATATTGCATTTTCAGGACAATTTGATTAAGGACGATTAATCCAAATTTATTCCTTTTAGTTTCATTGAACTAGCTATGAATATTTTAATTTTGCAGGAGAAACGATTGTATATCTGCTGTGATTTTGCGAAAAAAACAGATATTTCATAACGAACATGTGATTAACTGATAGCAGATGCCTCGAGATTTGTCAAGATCACGGTCTCGCTCGCCCTCGTATAGGCGTAGACATTCGCCTCTCCTGTTAGGCATAAGCATGGGAGGAGGAGCCGGAGGGACAGAAGCCAGTAGCCATATTCATCCTATTCTTATAGCAGGTGATCCGGTTTATGTTCATGCCAGGGTTTCAAATCGCGGTCGCGTTTTCGGTTATTTCGGATTTACCGTGATTGCGGGTGCTATTGCGGCCGTCGCGGACGCTATTGCGGCCGTCGCGGGTAACTCGGACGGCGGCGAAACCGCTATATCGCGGCCGAAATCGTGTCGCGGACCGTTTTTTAAAACCCTGGTTCATGCTGTTTGTGTTAATTTGTTAACGTACAAGATATTGTAAGGAATTTTGTAAGAAAGGTTGGAACTCTGGAATTTTTTTTCGGATTGGAATTACAAATTCATCAAGCCTATTTGTAAGCTTCTTATTTGTACATCTTCTGGTTCTCTTTTGGATTTACGGGAAAGACTATGTAGCTTGCTTTCTGTTTACAATTATGATTGCTTTTCTAGAATTGGATCCTGGACAAGAATTTGATAACAAGTGGGTATTAGACTTTTGAATGCGCCAAATTGAAGGTGCTGCTGCAGTTGAGGATGTACAGTGCTGTTGGCATTTTTTAGACTGGTGCTCTCAGTGTCATTTACATTGCAGTTTAATCTTCTGGTTGTCTATGTTTTGCTATGCGTGTGGCACTTTCTGTTCAGATTGCCACCACTGCCTGATTTCTTGAGTACCTTCAGGATTATATATTTGTGTTTAATGATCACCTGCCTGATAATGAAGTGTAGCTGAATTCTTCCGATAATGTTATATGGTGTATTATTCAATATCTTCTATGAAATTATCAACTCAAAGAGCATTTGACATGTGAGGAACTTTCCTTTTGATTGGTTAATTGGAAATGTCATATATGCTAAAAACAAAAACACTTGGAGCAAAGTATAAAGAATTCTATGACAGTGATAGGAAGCATGCTCTTGGTTAGAACATTAAATACAGTTTCTTCCCATCACTTGAGATGGGAAGTGAGCAGGTGATGGGTGCCGATGGGTTCCTTTCGTTGCTTGAATGTAACCTTATCTTCTTCGTGTCATAAATGATGGAGCTCAATGCTTATCTTAACAATGTATGAGGTAACCGTATATGCTTTTATATTATTCTATTTGATGGTGAGCTTTGCCCATTCTTAGTTTGTGTAGCTAGTATGCCCAAATTCTCAATAATTTGTGTTGCTCTACAGAAGAAAGAGTCGTTCCATTAGTCCACGGCGCTACAAAAGCCATTCTCCAACTGCAAGATGTCATAAAAGTCGTTCTTCGACTCCAAAGCGTTATAAGAGGCAAAGAAGTAGGAGTTCTTCATTGTCTCCTACTCATAAATCATCTAGCCAAATCTTGGGTCAATAGACCGCAAAAATGCTAGTGAGAAACTGAAAAAAGAAGAGGAGGAGAGGAAAAGGTATATTTAATTTGTGTAGGCTAATGTAATTTTTCTTTCAGTTGTTCTTGTAGATCTTCTTGAATTATATCCATTCTTCTATCATTTGAATGTTCTTAACTTTTGCTACATGCTCAATATTTATTTACTATTTTATTGATATTTGGGTTTTATTCACATTGGAGTCTCGACTCTGATGGAAGCTGCTATATTATTGTGTAGTTCTTTTCATAACAATATGATATTTGGTTTATTAGGATGACAGAACCACAATTCATATGGGAGACATGAACGTAGAGTTCCCGTGGGTTGTTAGATCTTGAAAAACTCTGAACTCTTATCCTGGCCTTAGTTTCATTCTTGATGGGCAAAGAACGTTACTTGTATGTACACAAATCCCCTTACCTTACCTTCCTAATTGTGATGCATTTTACCAGCTTACAGTCTGTGTTCCGTGCGCTCTACTTTGTACAAGTCACACAATTTTGCTTCCACAGAATATACAAAGAAAAGACCAGAGAGAGAGTTATTTATGTGCTTGCATTTTGTAGAACACTAAGAGAAATGATTGTGCTGTCCGAGCATTTTAATTCTGTTGGCTTTGTTATTACAATGAAAGCCATTCTTCCTATCAAAAAAAAAAAGAAAGCCATTCTGACTAAATGTTTTTAGTTGTGTACTGTTCAGCATCCATTGAAAAAGGATAGTGTCCATAAAAAAGATTTAAACTTTTCTTGTCAGAAAGCATACTTTGAGTTTGAAGTATAACGATGTTTAGTTATAAATTTGTGGCAAATTACTTGATATTCTTCTCCACAGGATTTTCTGAAGGAAGGTACTGATATAATTCAGTTCTGTTAAATTATATGATCTGAATGGATGCACCTTTCTCCTACTGTTCACCAGTTTTTGTAACTCTTTTTTTTTGGATCAGGTCCGATTAGATGTATGCCTTAAAAGCAGGATAATTTAGTGCCTTTGTCATCATGAAGGTTAGTTTGCCCGTTTATTATAGTTACATAGTGCATCCAGACAGATGGTGAGATAAAGAAAGAAGAAAAAGGCAAACATGACATGTTAGCTGTTCTTTTTTTTTTCTTTTTTCTTTTTTTGTTGTTTTCTGGTTTGGAACGATATCTGTAATGAAAGGTTGCAGCATATTTCCCAAAGGGGCAGAGAAGACTTAATGACGAAGTTGCAGCTCAACTTGAAAAAGAGAAGGAATCATCCCTTTTCGAGGCTAGGCAAAAAGAGGTAAATATTTTAGACAAAATCATGTGATTTCTTGTCTATTGATGTTTGTTTCAGTTCAAGTATATATGGTAATGTGTTTATTGATTTTTCCCTCTTTCTGGCTTATGGTTGTGACTGTTTCCTACCATTTCATGATCAATCTCGAATGATTTTGTTAACAGGAGCAAGTTCGAAAAGAGAACGAGGACTTAGAAAAGATGCTTGAAGAGAACCTGAAAAGGGTGGAAGAAGCTCAGAGAAGGGAAGCACTGGAACAGCAGCGGAGGGAGGAGGAAAGATACCGGGAGCTAGAGGAGCTTCAAGGACAAAAGGAAGAGGCAATGAAGAGGAAGAAGCAGCAGGAGGAGGAAGAACGTTTGAATCAGATGAAATTACTTGGAAAGAACAAATTGCGACCGAAGTTGTCTTTCGCTATCGACTCAAAATGATTGAATTGGAGAAGAAGTTGGTTTAAGTTTGTAGTATTTGTGCTGTCAGTCCAGTTTTGAAAGTCTATTGCAGCTTTTTTTGGGGTTCGAACTAGTAGGTTGGGGATTGATTCGTGATCCACTAGTATCGCTCGACGTGACACGTATCAATTTTTGAACCACAAAAGATTTACCATTGTGCTTTTAATTTGGTTTGCTGATTTGAGATTTTAATTAGGATAATTATGTTCATCAAACCTTGGTAGCAGCATTGTATTTTGGTAGCAGCTCACTGCTTTCTTGGATGAATATACAGAAATGCGTAAAAGAATTGTCAAAAAGACAGTAGCATAGGACCGGAGAAGGATATATACACAAATTTTAATCATGGTTATTCAGGGAGTTCTTCGGCCGCAAGAAATTGGTGAAACGTTTAGCATACAGGTTGGGTCCACAGATATCGATGTCGGGTTGAATTTCACTGATATGCCTGTATGCTCTGGTTGAATTTCACTGATATGCCTGTATGCTCGGTCTTTTTCTTTGCATTGTATCTCTGTAGAATATCGATTATTCCCATACAGAGAACTACATCATATACCTCAAAAAGTTTCAACTTTGGCAGAATCGGGCTCATCTCGAGAAAGCTTCCGAGTAGCCTTTGCTGGCATATTTACTCCTAATTGCACCCGTAATCTGTGTAAAAATGACTAACAAATATGAAAACCTAATTTCACGAGTTTTGAAGGTGTCTTCAACCCTATGTGCAAAAAGAATGAGAACGAAAGCAGCTACCTCCCGGATACGGGCACCAAAACGTCGACTTCCTTGTAGTCCAAAGAGAGAGCTCTTAATGCTCTTCCTCTGATACGAGGAACTGGTTTAACCGAGCTCGGTTCATGGGCCAGCAGCACCAAGCCTTTTGAAGGAAACTGCACTTCATTTGGGGTTACGCTTAGTGATAACAGAACAAATGGCGTATGCCATTAGAGAAATTGATAATGCGACAAATAAAGGAAACCGATATCAGAAAATGGTCACGGAAAATGAGATATAGAAGTCGTCCGGTGAAGACCCAAAAACTTTGTTATGAGAGTATTTTGGTGCTCTTTGACTTGGTTTTAGTTTTTAGGCAGCATCTTGAGCAAAACCTGCAAAGAAAATTACTCGTGTTTTAATCCTATAGACAATCGGTTAAACATGCTCTAAACTTTGAGAACATAAATATAACTGAGCAGATACAATGCATGGAAAGGAATATAGATTCAAACCTTGAGTTCGGATTTTTTCAATGTCTTGATCACAATTTTTCCCCCAGACGTCAAGCCATCACTCATCGCCACAAATGGACATCATGTAATCGGCTGCATACAGCTTGAACAACTCCCTCAGATGCCTTACTACAACAAAGAATGACATCATAATTCAATTCGTCTTCCATACGACTAGAATCTAAGAAATTCAAATTGATCATAAGATATATCTCCAGTAATAAGATTTGATCGACAAAGTCGTGAAGGCGATGTTTTTTCTTTGACAAGTTCAAAGAACGTGCAAATGATTTTAGTACCTGAAAACCATAGGAAAGTAATCCTTCCGGTACAAATCAATAGCTTTGCGTGGAGGGGTAAACTGTGAACCTCTTCTAGGGAAAAACATTGTACTTCTAGCTCGATCACATAAATGAGCTCCTCGAACATCGTGCTCAGGCACTGCCGTTATCTTGCTGACAGTATACCTGTGAACTTCAAATCAAGCATTTTATACCATTAAGCTGAGTCGACGGGTTCGGAGTACGTCAAAAAAGGAAGGGAACTTAATGGAAATCAGCTCACCTTACACCAAGTTGTAAATTAAGCATCAAATGATAGCTGCTTTTTGACTAAACATAACTTCTGTGTGTTCCTTTGGCAACAGATTTAGTTTGCTTTTCACCTTTCTTCGATAATTCAGCGTAATCTCGTATTCTCTCTTTAATCACAACTCCTTGCATGAATTCTCTGTCGTATACGTGAGAACCTAGCCCAAATGGAAGATTAATAGTTCAATAATTTACATGCAAGAAAGTAGTAAGAAACCATAAGTTTTACAATTTTTATATAGTAAATCAGTTAAAAATAGTTGTTCAAATTCAGGGATGGAGCTAGAGTATACGCTTGAGGGGAGCAAAATATAATTGTTTGAAAAGTAGAGGTAACTCATAATTAAATTGATGGTCAAATTTGATTTTTTAAAGGTTATGGGCAAAATTTAACTTAAAAAAAATTAAAGACCGAATTGACATAAAATACAAACGTTGAAGGTTGTGTGTATTATTCCCAACTTGATACAATTTAGCATTCAAGTCTTTAATTACATGAATGAGAAATCTACTAAATTCAATTGTTCCATAATCTATCTATCTATCCAAAAGGAGTACTCATCATCGCCTTGATCCTGCTTTGTTCGCTTCACTGAGCGGAGGGAAGTCGTCCTTTCCGCTGAGGAAGGAATCATTCATTGTTTTCGAGGTTTCTCGATCCGGTTTATCCTTGATTACTTGGCCATTTCGGTGCTGGTTTTGTTGAATGATTGCCTTGACAAAGGAGGAGTTTATAATCGGCTTTTGATGATGGCCTCGCGGAGCGGAATTCGCCGTAGGAGAAACGACCAATGGTTTGATTCTCAATAACTCTGGATCGGGTGAAAATTGGTACGGAAGTTTGCTATCATCCATTCTTCGGAATGTAATGGATATACTGCACAGGCATCAGCACATTGAAATTGTTGAGTATACGAATATTCGAGAAGAACAAATTTTCTGATTAACCGGAAAAAGATTTAGTTCCGTTACCGTTTTCCTGGAACAGCTGGGACACAATGCTTTGCAACGTCGGCTCCGTTACCGTTTAGAATAAGCACAGATCTGCACACCGACTATTAGGTTAGAACTTGCAAGACAATAATCAAATCGGTAAGAACTAAGAAGAGCTTAAGAGGACATACCCTACAGGCAAAGGTATAGATACAGGTCCCGAGAACTCTCCCGGACTCGCAATCTTCAAACTCAAACCGAAAAGAATATTGCATTGAGTCAAGAAAGACACGGTGCAAAAGGGCCTAAGAAAGTCGTGATGATCGATATGTGGAGGAATGCAATCCCCTTCGTCGTAAATGTTTACGATGCAACTGTTGGGAATACATGTCGGAGGCAAAATATGCCATCGGACCATCCTCTTGATCATCTGCTTGAACAGCTGGGGCAAGGGATCGACTTCTTCGTCCCGAATGATTCCCGGTGGGTTCCCATTTTTATCCTGTTTTAAAGGTTCAAATATGAATATGAAGTTCGGGAGTAAAACGTGCAAAGCAGGGTGAGGGAGGGGGAAGAACTAAGAGTTGGAAATTACCACTGCATAATTGTAACAACATCCAAATTGTATCGTAACACGACCTTTTCCACGCATCCACTTCCTCGGTTCTGTGTATGTACGTTCTGCAAACATCCCGAATGATTCCCGGTGGGTTCCCCATTTTTATCCTGTTTAAAGGTTCAAATATGATATGAAGTTCGGGAGTAAAACGTGCAAAGCAGGGTGAGGGAGTGGAAAACTAAGAGTTGGAAATTACCACTGCATAATTGTAACAACATCCAAATTGTATCGTAACACGACCTTTTCCACGCATCCACTTCCTCGGTTCTGTGTATGTACGTTCTGCAAACATCATTCGAACGAAAAAGGCCGATATTATTACTACTACAACCAATCTGTATACTCAATATATTAGGCTAATTTCATGTTCACCATGCCTCGACATTCGGTTTTAGTTCAAAGAACGTACAGGCAAGCCGAATAGTTCAAGTTATAAAGCTTATTATCAAGGTAAGCAAGGTTAAGTTTGCTAGAAATTTACCTCTAAGCTGCCCCTTTTGGCCCATACGTTGAAGATCATAAACACAATCCATAATTCTGCTCTGCTCCTTGGCATTGAAGACCTTCGTATGAAGCTCGAGCCCTTTAAGCACATTCGTCGGTCTCCCATTGACCCTCTCGGTGTGAATGAAATCCTTTTTCCTACCAACTAGGGAAAACCTGATACGCTCCTTTTGTTCCTCCGACAAGCCATTGTCAACCACAGTTCCACCAAGTCCATCATTAAGTAATATATCGAAATTAGCCTCCGGGGTCAGGGTACAATGGACCGCCGAATCCGGTGCCGGAGTAGCATTCGAGGCCACATTGGCTTCTCCATTAGACAAAGATGTTTCACTACCTCTTCCTGCAAAGCAAATAAACAGAGATAACATCGTATATCAGAATCACTTGTTTTCAAAGTTTTCCTAACAACAGGCATGATAGATACCATGCAATCAAAGTAATGCTATGAACATCAGGTATTTTATTTTCGAGACATTACTGTAATTAAAAGTTCGAGGTTGTCTTCCTTTCGAAAACATTGTCTTGTCGATAATACAATACATTTGATCGCGCAATCAAGATATACCTCAAAACGGATTAATTAGTCGCATGTGAGCTAAAACCCTGAAAAATTATGAATCGATGAACCCTAAAATCAAAGAAAGAGAGAAAAACATTGAGATCCTTACCACTCAAGATCTGATGAATTCGTTTATCTAGAACAGCTTCGCAGTGTTGGCAAAACCCTTGAGACAAAGCTTCGAAAGCCTCGTCGCGGTTAATTGTTTTCAACAACCCAACGACGCCCTGGCCGTGGCCGGCGTTGGAAGCAGGCGACTTTCCGGGGATATCACCGGCCATCGCCGCCGCTTTATTCCAGGTGAAAAAGGAGATTATTGCAAAACAAAAAGAACAGAAAAGACAGGAAGGAGAACAGGAAGCAGTAAGATTTAGGGACAAGAGATGTGAAAGAATTTTAGTTATTTAGTTTCAGATTAGGTAAAGAAAATCTGGGAGAGATCCTCGGATTTATAAAAAAGTGGAACCGTGGGAGGTGATAGGCGGTCTAAAAAGCTGCTCCGTTTTACAAGCTTTACTGACGTTTGTGTTTTTTTAACTAGTTGCGTATTTTACCACCACAAGGTTAAATTTTATTCTTAATCCTTGTATTATTTGTGAAATTAGTTTTGTTCATAAACTTTTCCAATGAGATTCTTACTTTGTGGCGTAGCTTTTTTCCCCCTTTGAACTTAAAAATAAATATGATAATCTTTACGTTTTTATTAAATTAAATCAATTTATAAAAATGCATAAAAAAATTGATTTTGGTGATAAAAAAAATTGTTATTCTTTAAGGTCTCAAGTTCGAGCGCCAT